CTGATAGCAGTACAGAATAAAATTTACTATATGTATCCTCTAGTACATGAATGGACAAGGGAAACCCTAGTAGATCTTGGTCTATAACAGCAGTTGGTTATGAATATACTGGGCATGGCTGCCACTAGTACATTTGATTTAGCCAGTCAATTAGTGTTAGCAATTCACTCTACAGAATTGGGTGAAGTGGTAACAGAAATATCATTGGGCCTGCATGTCAGGGGAACCCCCGCTTCGGCCTCCTTCGGACCCTCCGAACGCATCCGAGGCGCATCTGACCGGCGCCCCCTCGGACGCTCCGACCCACCCCGACCATCGTCCACAGTCTCCTTCGCCCGCACAATCACCGATCCATCAAGACCCTCCCAACGATCACCTTAGGACAGAGCCTGCGACGCCGCTCAGGCCTTCTGCGCTCTACGTCGGCAGTTACGGACGACCAGTATATAGTTGGCGCCCTAGCAGGCGGACCCTTAGAGTTTCTTCTCTTTGGATCCTCCCCTGCTAGGTCGGTCCCTCCGTGTATTTCCCGTAGCTTTTATTCACGCTTTGGATCCTCCCCTGCTAGGCTTTCGTCAGAGTCTCCAGGGTTGCCCTTACACTGCAAATCCACTCGGGTGATATACATAGGATAGCTGGACTGTTTAAGACTGCACAAAGGATAGGAGAGTGCATAGTGGCCAAATATAAGAAGTATACAGAAGACAATGATAGATGGAGAATGACTGCAGAAGCTAACCTAGCTATCATATATAGGGATTTGGTAAAAATACCATGATGCCCAGAGGTTAGAGGAAAATGTTCTAAAAAAATGCACATATGTGCTTGGCCTAGAGCATATAGACACTATCAATGCTCAGGCCAACCTGGCTAGCACATATAGTCATTTAGGGAAGTATGATAATGCCTGTAAGCTAGACAAAGAGGTCCTAAAGAAGCACAGACATCTGCTTGGCTCTAAGCACCCAGAAACAATTTATGCTCAGGCCAACCTAGCTAGCACATACCATGATTTGTGAAAGTATAAGAAGGCCTGTATCTTAGAAGAAGAGGTTCTAGACAAGCAGAATCACCTACTTGGACCAGATCATCCACAGACAATTTGTGCTAAGGGAAACCTGGCTCGTATATATGGAGATTTGGGAAAGCATCAGAAAGCCTATGTACTAGAAGTAGAGGTCCTGAACAAACGTAAACATTTGTTTAGCCCAGACCATCCTATCACTATTCTTGCTCAGGCCAACCTAGCTTGTACATATAGGGATTTGGAGAAATATGACAAGTTCTGCATACTAGAAAAAGAGGTTTTAGAGAAACACAAACATCTACTTGGCCCAGAGCATCCATACACACCTCTGGCTCAAGGAAACCTGGCTTGTACATATAGATCTGGCAAAGTATGATAAAGCTTGCAAGCTACAAGAAGAAGTCCTGTATAAATATCAGTATCTGCTTGGCCCAGACCATCCAGATACCCTTCTTGCCCAGGAAAACCTTGCTAGTACATATAAAGCTTTGGAAAAATATGACAAGGCATGCAAGCTTCAAGAAGAGGTTCTTGAGAAACACAAATATTTACTTGGCCCAAAGCATCCACTAACCATTCTTGCCCAAGCACACCTGGTTGCTGCAAAATATATGACTACTAGAGGTGCTTCTAGTATGAACATGTAGCTTAGTCAGCACATTACTTATATATATTCAATGGTTCACCACTTCATATAAGGGCAGGCTCAAAAGCTTGGAAATGATATCCCTATAGGGGAGGATCCAATAAAGTGAATACTAATATTTTATAAAAATGCGAACAAAATCATATCTTATAGATTGAGTCGACCTACCTTTATCATGAGTTTATCTCTCATTTATCAACTTAAGAGTTACAAAATTGACCCATTGTAGTGCTGCCCATAAATAATATCTTATTTATATTCAGGTGTATTAACATTCAAGGTCTGCACTGACATTATATTATATCTATGAGAGGGGATAAGGCCGCAAGCAGCAGATGCCGAACCTTACCAGATGATCCAGCCATCATGTGATGCAGCCAAAAAAGGGAATAATTTTGCACTGCCACTCCGAATGTGGTAGTGCTGATGGCAATCTTGTTATATAGAGCCAAACCTTAGGTTCGGCAATAATATTCAGAATATATTCAATATTTATTAAAAGATATTATTTAATATAATCTATCATGAATCCATTATATTACCACCTAGGAATATTCAATTATACTCAAGTACACCACCAATTGGTCTGTAGCTGTGGCCCAGCTGAAGAACTCAGCTGGAGTGAGGTATTTTCCCAGCTGTAATCATCTGGCTTCCAGCTTACCACCAGCTGGGAGGTCCAGCTGGATAGCCAGCTGGCTACCATATAGAATCACAGCTGAGCTGAAGAATATCTTTCAGCTGGTGACATCCAAGTCATAATATTTTCAATAATGTAATTTATTCATCATCTATTTCATACTACAATATTACAGTTTTGCAGTTTATATGTGTGAATGAGATGTGTTTCAAATCACTTTAGGGCCGACATAACCATGTCTTTTGCAAATCTGACTATCAAATGTCAGGATCAATGTCCTGTCTTCGTGAAACAAGATCAAATGATTTTGTCATTGGTGACTGAATGAATGTGATGATTTTTTTTTTCAGTCACACTTTCTTTCTCCCTCTTCCCCTCATTAGCTGTTCTCTCCACCAGTGCCCTGCGTGTCTCCAGTGACCGTCCCTGGTGAGCCTTCTCCCCACGTCTCTCATCAATGATGTGTGACCATCTGCCTAGGCGTAACCCTATGCCGCCAACACCGCAGTGGCATACTTTGGGTGTCTCAAAGAGTTGAATGGGCACCAAAGGAGTGGCGCTTGCAGGACCATGTCGGACTGTGAGTTACTCACCCCCGGTTTTATGTGCTGACCCTGCAGTAGCTTGCGTCGTTCTACCTCCAAGTTCCAATCTCCCGCGCTGCACTGGTCGTTCTTGCCAGCGCACATGAGCCATGTTTGGCCAAATTCGGCCAGAACTGCCCCCCGCTCTGCGTCGGCCACCTCCGGGGACATCCTAGCAGTTTCGGTGCATCTCGGCGCCCCACGGACGGCCCCATCAGGGCTCGCTGTTGACCGCGTTGTCAGCAAGTCAGTAAGCACGGCGCTTCTTACTAGTACCTGTTCTGGCTCATGTTTAAACCCCAGACAGCCGCCTCACGCGCGTTCAGCCTTTGGTGCGTGTTCCCCCAAGTACTATAACAACAATACTGATGGCCCTTCACAGTGTACTTACACTGTCTTCATGCTACAGACACTCTGCCTCGCGCTACACAGTGCAGACGCACAATGCTGGTATGTGGCCCACTTCGGGACCTCCGCGTGTTCGGGAACCATCTCCGCCTTTGACACGCTGATCATGGGCTCGCTTGTGGTGCAGCTCTTCGACTGCTTCCATATCGACCTGTTCCGCACTGGGAGCCGCACCATCCCAGGCGTTGTTGGCGTCATTGTGCTGGTGTGTCACTTAGCACCTGATCTGCGTGTTTGGGCTGATGGACGACAGGCGATGTGCTGTAGGCGGTTGGCAGGATGGGCAGGGGGCATCAAGGCATATATTGCGGGCAACCAGGCAGGGACGGTGCTTGTGAGAGCAGACGCAGCAAGCGCGGTGCCTGGATCTGAAGATACCGAGATGTAATTTAGTAATATATTTTATATTTAATACAAAATATTTTTTAACAAAAATGTCTGTTCTCTGGCCGCCAAGGAAACTAGATAATTCCTAGCTGCCAGGAAACTCTGTCAGCTGGTGGCCAGCTTGACCTGGCCACAAGCTGGGTCCATTTGAGAAGAGAGCTGGATTCCAGCTCATCCCAAGCTGGCCTCCAGCTGTCAGCAACACCTGCCCCACATGCAATCTGCAGCTTATGGCCAGGTGGCTGCCCATTTGTGGTGTATTTAACCATTCCTGATTTCAGTGTATCTATGGAACACATATGGTACTATTTTGATCAATGAATTCATATTATCTGAAAATTTTCTATAGTCATAACAAGTTTCAATGGTAATTTTCAAATATTCTGTGCCTATGGTGTGCAGCCCTACCATATTAGGTAGGAGGCCAGATGAAAGTTGGCCATTGGCTAAATTGTATATCTCTGCCATAGGTATCACAGGTCACTGGCCCATAAGATTGAACAAAATACTACAGTATCCTCTCACCTCAAGCATATACAATATCTAATGTCTGTGGAAACCTGGTGGCCTGGCCAGGAAACACGACAGCCAAAATATAACAAGAGCATGCTGTATTCAAAGACGATAGCAATGGTGCAAGGTAAGGACTCTGAGGACATGTGATGATTGTGATCTACAAGTACATGATGTAAGCCAGGCTTACAGTCTACCCAACAAAGATAATATCAATTAGTATCATTACCAAGGGATGGCTAAAGATAGGTTTTAGGCCTTAAAGTTCACATTCCAGATCAATAGATTATATTTAAATATATTCATATCATATTGGAAATATAAATATAATATACTACAAATGTAATATTCTTCCAAGCATGCAAATATCATACAAATATAATATAATATCTAAATTGCATATTATGTTTGTATTTGGCCAGCACTAACCCATTGTTGTCCACCCTGTTGGGAACTCATTCGGTCAAAACCTGATGTGGTTCATGCCCACTAAGTAGTTGCGCAGGCCCACTCCTGGACGCATGTTAAGTATGGGATGTGGCGCGGCCCGGGGTGGGCAGTAGGCTGAACCACTGCCGTCCCTCGCCCTGTTGATTAATGATGGTGTGGCCCCACTTTCCCTGCCAACAATAGCACTTTGCATCAGCATCGCTGGAAAGCGGGACTGCCTACAATTTTACAGCTAATCAGCTGACAAACTCTCGATTGCGTCACCCGTGACAATCACCACGTGGCGACTCCGATACTTGTCCCGGACGATGACCAACTGCGGGCAGCATATAGGGGGATGCGGGGATGCGGGGTAACTGGCTGCTTCGACGGGTCTTCCTCTGCAACTCCCACGCGATAATGGATGCTACTATCGTTTTCTACGACATCCCGTCGCAGCACCCGGGCGTCACCTGGTCGCCCAACCCGGCGAAGACGAGGTGTGTCGTCCGCGATAGGTGGTCAGGCTGGCTGACCCCCCGCAAGATATGCGCTGGACTTCAAGGGCCTCGCGTACAGAACGGAGTATGTCGAGTACCCGGACATCGAGGGCGTCGTCAAGGCGCTGGGCGGGGCGCCGACCGAGAAGAAGCCCGACGGGCGGCCCCACTACACGCTCCCCATGATCCACGACCTCACAACCGGTGCGTCTTTATCCCTCCTCACCCTGTCTGCTGACACAGCTTCAGGCGCGGTCGTGACCGACTCGTTCAACATCGCGGTCTACCTCGACAAGACGTACCCCGCGAAGCCGCTGCTGCCCTCGGGCGACTTCGCGCTCGTCGCCGCGCTGCAGGCCGCGCTCCAGCCCGTGATCATCAGCCTCGTGCCCTTCGGCATCCCCGCCTCGCAGCGGCTGCTCAACGCGGCGAGCAGCGGGTACTACCGCGCCCGCCTCGAGGGCATGTTCGGCACGACGATGGAGGCGCTGTTCCCCGCGCCCGGCAGCGACCGCGACCGCGCCGAGTGGGCCAAGGTCAAGGACGCGTGGGGCGCCGTCGACGCCTGGCTCGTCGCCGCGAATGCGCGGTATTTCGGCGGGGCGGAGCGGAACTATGCGGATCTCTATGTCGCGGCGTATGTCTTCTGGGTCAAGACGGTGCTCGCGGAGGAGAAGTGGCGCGACTTTGCGACGTGGCATGGCGGGCGGTGGGCGCATCTTCTGAGCACGGTGGAGCGTGAAGCAGACGGCGCGCCGCAGTGATTATAGTTCAAGTAAATATATCTACTTACGTTGAACTTGAAGTGTATACTCATTCCACTGCAACCTGAAGTACCGTCTCAAATCCATATATATATTGATGTACTATATGACTGTTATAGGGTCCTGTAGAGTGTCAATGAGGCTAATAGGGTCACAAAGTAAGTTACTGGGAATATTTGAAGTTTTTCTTAGCCCAAAAACTCATTGGAAAATATTGAATATGTTGGTCCTGAAAACTGGTTCACCCCAGCCAAGTAAGCATGTTTTGGGCTGAAAAACTCAAAGTTTTTAGGCAACAAGAAAATTAATTCCCAAACATTATATATATATATCAATATAACTACCTATTACATGTCTTGTGTTGGTCTAGACTCTACTGGAGGTATATCAAGGCTTATATTCATTCTTTATAGAAATGTGTTCATCTGCATTCAAACAACTGAGAAACATGTCTCCATCTACCATATACACCAAACAATAGGCCTTTGGCTTTCTTGATGGTGTTGGGCTGACTGGGGCAAGTAATACATCACAGATTAGCCACTGGCAGTCAGCAAACAGGAAGGTAGAAGATTTCACCCCTCCTCAACAAACATTTCAAGAAATAAGGGCCCAGGACCCCACTCTGTACAGAACCTGTTCATCAGCACTATTGACATCATTGTGTTGCCTATTGCCTCAGCCATACTGACAAAAATATGATTTGCTCTCACAATTAAGGCCCAGAGGGCATGCATATATATAAGTTCACAACTTTGTACTAATCATGATATAGCTCAATTGTACTTTAAAAGTTTGCTAATAAAAGGTATCTGGTTCAGAGGCTAATGTTGAGTGCAAGCATATGCATGTGTTAGAGGAACCTCCCTTCGGGCCCTCTAGAGATATCTCCATCTCTGGTCCAACTCGAGCTCTACTTCAACGACCTGCTGACTCCATCAGATGTATAGCTACTGCCACCCAGCAGCCTTTCAGACAATCCTCATTGGACCTGGCCTGCAACATGGTGCAGACATACTGCTTGGAGCAATAATTATTCTTGGTACATCAAGAGCACAGTACAAGGGGGTGTCACGTGTCAAAAAGTGACAACCGGGATGGTCGGTCGGTCCCCCCTCCGGACCCTTAAAAAATTTTTTGGTAGAAACTTTTTGGCTGAAATGGTAAGTCAAAATTGTCTTAGGATGGGTTACAAGTACTGTTTGGTGCACTATACATCCATAATTAAGTATCAACAATCTCACAAGTGGTTATTTTTCAGTATCTCATCATCAGATGGAACATTGTGACAAATCAGACCATATGGGGATGGATGTGGACACAGAAGGCTAGAATATATACGTATAAGGTAATCTGTTCAATTTGACCATGTTTTCCTACCTATGTGTTATTTTAGCATATTTTGGTGTTTTTGTTGATGTAATTACACAACAATTAGTGTTCTAATAACTCTGCAAATTTGGGCACTCAGAGGGAATATGGTTGGAAATGGGTAATCCAAGTTCTACGTTGATCGGATCAATAACGGATCAATAATGAACAAATTACTGGTTACTTTAGGTGATAAGGAGTATATGTCCATATATATTATATTGTCCTATAGATATCCTATAGCTCTCCTCAGGGAGCTTATAGGTACCTATCACACTGTATACATCATTACTGCTGTATACATCATTACTGCTTGGTAGGTGATAGCTGTAAGACTTATGACCATATAGTGCACTATCAAGTACTATCAAGCTATATATTGAAAAAAAGAAATTTGGGACTAATCCTCAAACAAAACCAAGGAGTCCCGGTGTGCAATACTAATTAACCAGTACTAGGTACTAGCCTACTAGGTTGTTCATAAGCAGCGTTCAATTCTGGGCCAAATTGATCTTGCAGGATCAGTGGTGAATACGTACAGTAAGTAGTACAGAGATGGACATATAGTGACATTCGATATACAGGAGACTTTCTATCTCAGGCATTAGCAGCAGCAGCCTCCCGCTCAGCCTGAAGCTTGGCCCGGATCGGGATGAAGCGCGCAGTATACTTGGTCCGGATGTATTCCTGCAATACCATCAGCCAAACAACAAACAGAAAGTGAACCACACACGGCATCGAATGTGTTCTTGAGGCTCTCCCGGGCCTTGATCGCGTCATAGTACCGGAGCAGCTTCGTGAAGCGGCCCCCGTCGAAGAAGTACTCCGCGGCCTTGGTCCCCTCGCCCGCCGGGTATGCGCCGATGTCGTGGCGCAGCATGACCTCCAGGCGCGCGAGGAACGGCGCGATGGCGATGTCCGCGGCGGTGAAGTCGTCGCCGACGGCGTAGGTCTTGTCGTCGGGCAAGAGGCGCTGGATGACGTCGAGGGCGTTCCAGAGGGGCTCCCACGGCTGGCCGCGCGCGAGCGGGCCCATGTACGCGGGCAGGAAGCGGTTGCTGACCTCCTCGATGAAGAAGCGCACTTTCGCACGCTGCACGGGGTCGCGCGGGAGGAGCGTCGAGGCGGGGTACAGGTCCGCGACGAACTCGACGAGGACGAGCGATTCGGCGAGCTTGGCGGAGTCGGGCGAGGGGAGGTCCGGGGACACTTGCGGGCCGCCGAAGGCTGCGTAAGATGTACCAGTTAATAAGAGGTAAAAGCGCATCGCAGGTGAGCGTACCGATTGCGGGCACCTGTGGACGGTGAGTCAGAATAAGAGGACGGGGAGTCAGCATAAGAGGACGGGGAGGAAACTGAAACGCGCCTTGCTTTCGGGGTTGATCTTCGCCGCGTACCACTCCGGTTTGTTGCTCAGGTCGACTTCGAAGCGGTTGTAGCCCGCCTTGGCCTCCTGCAGCGCGAGCTCGACCTACACGCCGTTCAGCACCGGCGACCGACCCAAAAGCGGGCGCTTACGCGGTGGGCAAAGGGACAGATCTAGGGGCGTTGTCAGCGAGGGAGCTGGAGGCGCGCGGCGACGTGCCTTAGCGCTGTATAGTGTGAGTTGCTCGGTAGCCATTGTGCGGGGGGAGGGAGGGCAGTGCGCGGTGGTCGTTGCGCCATCGTGTCTTATACAAGCGCGTCCGAGTCACGGTCACACGTGAAATGACAAATGCTTATAACAAATTTGCCACGTCGGATCGGATCGGATAAGATAAGATACACCGTTCTTACTTATGATTAGTCGCACGACAGATCTGCTGAGAATAGTTGCCTATGTATGTCTCACCGTACGAGTACTTGCTTGCCGAATGTCTAGGGAAGAAGAAACTTTGAAAGTGTTTCCATACTGGACTTGTTCCAAATATTTCTGGGTGTTCTTCGCCACTGATAATCTCTCAGTAGGGGATAGGGCCGTGAAATCTTTCTACCCACTTCATAAGTCTTGTCCATATCAAACAGAAGACTCCACCAAATGCTTTCACAAAACTGGACATCAACTCACGCCGGCGACGTTCGGCGATCCGGGTTTGTCATCGCCGGTCGGAGCTGACGTGAGCCGATTGGTGTGGGCACGTCATCGGATGGGGATCGGACGTCGGCTTATAAGCGATCGTCTTTGTCTTCTCTCTTCCAACCACGATGGCTACCGAGCAACTCACGCTGTACAGCGCCAAGGTGCCTCCCGCTGCACAGCCCCCGGTCCCCTCGCTGACGGTCTACGCAGATTTGTCCCTTCGCACAGCGCGTAAGCAGCCAATGCGGGAGGTGTGGCAGTGGGAAGCAGCGCTCAACGGCCCGTCCAGGTGGAACTAGCGCTGCACGAGGCGAAGGCGGGGTACACCCGCTTTGAGGTTGACCTCAGCAACAAGCCGGAGTGGTATGCCCCACAAGTTAATCCGGCCAGCAAGGTGCGTCCGCCTGGCTTCCTTTGGCAACGCGCTTACTCACCCACATCCAAACATAGGTCCCTGCCATCGGTACACTGCCTGCTGCCTAATCCGCCCCCCGCTGACTAACGACACACAGCCTTCGGCGGCCCGCAGGTGTCGCCCGACCAGCCCTCGCCCGACTCCACCAAGCTCGCCGAATCCCTTGTCCTCGTCGAATTCGTCGCCGACCTATACCCCACCTCTGCAATCCTCCCGCGCGACCCCGTGCAACGTGCGAAAGCGCGCTTCTTCATCGACGCGGTGAGCACGCGCTTCCTGCCGGCCTACATGGGCCCGCTTGCCCGCGGCCAGCCATGGGAGCCCTTCTGGGATGCACTTGAAGCCGTGCAGCGCTTGCTTCCGGCGGACAAGACGTACGCCGTCGGCGACGACTTCACCGCGGCGGACATCGCGATCGCGCCGTTCCTCGCGCGCATGGAGGTCTGGATGCGCCACGACATCGGGGCCTACAAGGCGGGCGAGGGCATCAAGGCCGCGGAGTACTTCTTCGAGGGCGCGCGCTTCAAGCGGCTCGTGACGTACTTTGACGCGATTAAGGCGCGAGAGAGCTTCAAGAGCACCTTCGATGCGGTTTGTCATGCCCGCCTTCCGGGAGTTTGATAAAGACTGACCAATGACGGTGCAGGAATACATTAAGAAGACGTATACCGCGCGGTTTGCGCCGCTCCGGGCGAAGCTTCAGGCTGAGCGCGATGCTGCTGCTACGCCTACCGCTGCGTAGGTTAGGTTCCCAGTACTCTGTACGATGTTCTGTAGCTTCATTGACACTGTGTGGTTGCAATTAGGCTGTAAAATGATATTTTCTATTTCGTTAACATAGACGATGGAACATTTTGAATCGCTATGGGCATCTAGTAAACTTAGAAGCCGAATCCGAAGTGTTACTGATGCACATATATGTATGGCATTATTGCATATGCAATGGATTCCAAGCTGAATGTGGAGCTTGGAAAATTTACACGACAAGCCTGCGTTGTCCCCTCTAATTCAACTTGAAGGGAAGACTCGAACCTGTTCAAATACTTAAGACCACCCTCCTGCCTAATCTCGAGATCTCAGATCAACATTTGATTGCCTCTCAGGCTGCACATTAGTAAGTACATACATTCAAGTTATTGGTCGTTTGAGTACTCGTACCACAGGCCGCTATCGAGTTGAATCGACGTCTACTCCCCTATTCCAGACTAAGTATCTAGGCCCTTATGTTCCATCTTCAGTCGTCCGCTACTTTTGGTCTGCGGCAACGCCCGCTCGAGCGCTTCACAACATGCTGCAAATTCCAGGAGGGCGTGGTCCGAGTCGGCATACCTGTGCAGCTTGAGGCAGTAGGTCCGAATGGAAATCGTCCAGTGCAGAGCCACGAGTGTCGGGTGTGATGCACATGCAGCATCAAGGGCAGCCAATGTGGTCGCGTTGAGCTGCCACGCTATGGGTGTGGCGGGAGTGAAAGACCCATTCTGCGCTGCGGGACCTTCGAGTTGGGGACCTGCACCGTCAGCTTGCATGCGCATCTCCAAGTTGAGGCGGATCTCCTTAAGATTGGGGGTGGAATGCGGCACGACAACGTTGGCAAGCAGCTGGGTCAGCATCCAAGACGGCTGTTCCTCTAATTCTTTTTGAGTCCTTATGTATGCATAGACAGTGCGAAGCGCAGGCCAGGACGAAGGCAGCGCGAGAGCAGCCGCTTCCTCAGGCTCAACAGAGATATCTCCTGAGTCATAGTCAGAAGATGGGTGAATCAAAGGAATGGCGTACCAACGCCGGGGAAATGGATCTCCGGGATGGTTGGTGCGAGCAGGACATACAGCGCAAGCAAAGGCTCAAGCGGGTCTTGATCGCCGTTTGCTTTGAACGAGGCGATACTGGCAAGGTATGGCCGGAGTTGGGGCCAGGCGAGCATCTCAAGCAGAAAGTTGCTGTAGTACACGATGACAGTCTTCTGCGGCGAGCACACAACAGGCGCGCGAGAGTGTTTTCCGAGGTTGGGACCGTTGGGCTCCTCATCACTCCCGATACAACGCGAGATGGCTAAATCGGTCGTGGCACGCAGTGCAAGGATTAACAGGTCGGGGGAAATGTAGTCAAGGTTATGCAGGTCCAGATGCAGAAGCGGCCGCGCACTCCTCTCGACAAGGAGCGCCGAGAGTGCCACTGTGATTGCTTCGGGGACAGAGTGCCATGGTATCGGCTCTTCGGCAGCCGCAGAGATGATGAGGGCTTCAAGGTTGGTGAACTGGAGGAAGAATTTTGGATTGCTGGAAAGTTTGTCAATATCAGGGAAGGATAGCCGGTCGACATCGATGTCCAGGCAGCTGACATGCTTGACAAGATGCGGAGACTGCTGGAAATGTTCTACGATTGCAAGTCTTTCGGCGGAGTATGCTGTGGAGATGTTTTTGGCACGCGTAAACGAACGCAGAGGCAGAGAGACAGAAGTTCCTAAGCGAAGGCGTGTCGTTGGATAGGTGATCCACAATGTAGTAGATGAGCTCTAGTGGAAGGGCACTCGGAGCCATGTCGGCAGCGGCCCTGGAAATATGCGGTTGTAGCAATCCGGGTCAGCGTTGGAAGCAAGAGCGTCGCTGCAATCATCATGCCAAATTTGGCAGCATCCAGCTTGTTCTTGACTTTCACCACCGTGTACCGGTTCTATTCACTGCGGCTCGTTATGACACCTCTTCCGGTCCCGGCTGCCATCATAAGCACCGTTTGAAAGCCTGAAGGCGGTCCCCTTTGACGAACGACGGGTTCATGCTGTTCGTGTGTCTTCTTACCGCTGGAGAAACAAGCTGACTTCAATTCCCAGAGCTTCCGCTGGCTCTTGCACTGTCCTCAACAAGGAGCACTGACGACAGTGACGAGGGTCGTCTCTGCTCAGTCTCAGTTGCTGCAGGGGCCTTCGAGAAGATATCGAGGCAACCCCAGCAAAGGAGACAACTCTTGTTGACGATATACAGGCTTGGAGGGACCAATTTTGTGGAAGAAGGTGCGTGCCCCTGCTGGCATATTTGCATATTCACCAACCTTCTTAGCCTGCGCCGTTTCTGCAACTAGTTAATGGGCTCTTTCCGGTCAACGACAAGCGGCTGCATCGTTACAGTATGACCTGGATTCTTCGCGGACCCTCCCACCTCTCCCGCCACCCTCCTCTTTTTCGTGCCTACAAGTAACTGGCTCATCGTTGGGGATGAAGAGGCTCAAATCTCGAACAGCCATGCGACTACCGAAGGGTCAAATCCACATTGTAATGTTTTGGGAATGGGACTCTTCAGTCAGCCAATGGCCATCTCAAAACCAACTCGAAACTCTTGTCAATTCATCACATACCGCATACTACGACATATCCCCATTCCTGGTCTATGTCCTCGGCTGATACAGCCTCCACTTTCATCGAGCTTTCAATCTCATCGCTGGAAAGACCTTTTTCACGTCCCTTACTACATCATACCAGGCTTATTTCGTTATTTAAGGAGCCTTCTTTTCCATATTCCCCATACTTATTTGTTTCCATCCCCTTGCCTACTTTCTTCATGTGTTTACATCCTCGTGCGATATCGGCGTATACTCTGCCTATTTCTGGACTTTCTGATGACTACATATCGATTTCCTCGGTACATCTATTTTCCATTGAAGCTATCACCATTTGCGTGTTGACGCTGACCGTCCATTGTAGAGAGATTGCTGGATGAGGACAGCCAGTCCCAATATGGCAACTCTCATGCCTAATCGGGGATGCCGTCCTCGCTCCACTCCATCTCAATTACTCACAGCCCGCGCTGACGCGAGCTACATCCGTCGTTCATCTCTCCGGCATGCCGATGCGGCAGCGGCCAGGGATTACCGTGTTTCGATGCTCCACCAGATGCGCTCCCGTCGAGTATAAAACTGCATGGGCTCCGTCCCGCTGTGGCACAATGCATTTCTCGACTACGGCACTCTTCACTGCTCTCTTTGCCGCAACTTCTGCGCTAGCCCAAACTGGGTTCTGTCCGGAAGCGGCGCGATTTGGAGGAGTCAAGATTTCGCCCTCTACTTTGTCGCCAGGGGAGGTAAGCACTATTTGGTATTCTCTGACAGGAGGTGGCCACTGAGAACCTGAATCTATCAGACCTTCACCGTCATGGCGAACTTAACCTGTGCCGTCCAGCTGGGCAACACGCCGACTTTCCTTGACTACTACGTCGATGGCACCGCCACGCACGCGATCTCTGGCCCGGTCCTCATTGCGCGCCGCACGTACAACGGCACCGCCGCCGCGCCTGTGGACATCTTCCCTGTCAAAGTGAGTGCACATGTAAATGTGCTTATGATGTCCAGCTAAACAATGGGAAGCTCCCGGAGTGGTTCTACTTCACGGACGCAACATATGCATTCCGGATGGTCAACAGCTTCGCGCGTGCGGGGCCGACGGGGGAGAGCGTCATTACTAGCGGGAGTATCTCGGTGGCGATGAACATTACGGGCATTTGAAACTGGACTCCCTTGCATACATATATGGACAAATTACTTCAGAGTTTTAGGACGAGTGTTTGTGCATATCCAAACAAAACAACTAAAATTACACATCTCACAGTTGAGCTATACTTACATACTGAGGGAATGTCCAGAAGATAATTATATCCTTCAAGTTGGTGTATTCATCTAGTGGTTTGTCTCGACGACATATCTAGCTAGATAGTAGTGCTAATTTCTAAATACTCAGTGAAATTAAATTGAAGCCGCTTTTCGTCCTACTTCAGACCAAATCGACCACGTCGAACCCCTCCCCATACCACCTCTCCCAGTCCCACTCCTCTCCACTCATCTGGTTCTCGCGACCAAACGCTTCCCTCATACCGGCGCTCTCTGCCTCACCCTTGAGGACGACACCCGCATCGTCCCGTGTCTTTCCTTTCGCACCTTGGCCGAATATCCGTTGAGGCTCGGACCCAGCGCCGTCGTTGGTGAGGAAGGTACCGATGTGGCGGAAGGTTAGACTGATGCGCTCGCCCCCCATCGCCTGCTCATCCGCGGACTTGATCGTCAGCGGGCGGTTGTCGTGCGGGATACCGTGCAGCCAACTGCTGTTGGTGTTTGGTCCCAGGACAAAGAGCGAGTTGTGAGGGAGGGGAATGCGCTGTGTCGGTCGTGGCGGGGGTCTTGCAATCGCAGTGTCTTCACTCGTCGTATTTGGGACTTTCTTGTTCCGAAGGACCATGACGCGCTGCGCGCCGAGGCTGACGTTAACTATGCTTGACCCGTGCACGACGTCGATGGTCTTGTCGGAGTGGTCAGATATGTAGTCCGCGCCGTTGCGGTACAGCTGGATGAGAACGTGGTTAAGCGGATGGCCGATGGCGGCCTCGACATGAGTGCGGATGACAGATACAGTGGGGGAGAACACGAGAAGAGGCGGGGAGAAGTCTGCGGGGTGGCGATAAATCGGGAAGCTACTGGCTGGTTAGGATGGAAGCAAAGATGACGCTTGAAAACACACCTTCCGTCTGGAAGAACCTCGCCTTCGACAGCGACCAGCCTCGGAACCTCCCCACCTGAAGTATCAATGGGTGGGCCTCATAGTGTCAAGCGCGCCACGTACCCCGATGGTGCATCACTGCCCACCGCACCTCCTGCTTCAGCCTGTCAAACGCGATGGCACTCAGTTCCGTCGGCAGCACGTTGAGTTTGAGGTAAGAATCGCCCGTACCAAGCGCGTCGCCAGCGCCAAGGGTCACCGAGTGCGTCTGTTTCGGGGCCATAGATGGTGGTGAGGAAGTAAAAGAGGTTCTAACAGGGGGCGGTGACGGTGACGTGACATGGCTCTCTCTCTCCTTCAACGAACCTTCAACGAACCTTCAATATCTTCACGATCTGCGCGGGTTGAACAACGTATTCACGGGCCCAGATACTCATCAAAAGTCGTCAAATTCGATACAGACAAGCTTGTTAATGCACTGATGCCAATGACTACGTTCTCTTCCTCCTCCTCGGTTCTTCAAGAGTCCTTCATCGAAACAGTCGAGCCCGAGAGGGTGGCCGAGCAGAGCTCCGAGTTCTGCACAATGTCGATAAGGGTCGCGGTGGCTGGGCTGACAGATGTTCCCGAGCGGATGGCGGAACCCGTGAAGGTGCTGGTGGGGAAACCGGCGAATGCAACAAGGCTAGAACCGGACTCAAAGTCCTCGAGAATCCACTCCGCGGACGTGCTGGACAGTCTGGTGCCACCACTGACCGTGCCGACGAGAGTGGTCCCTTTGGAAGTGTTCTGGATGGTGATGCTGCCAGAGGTCGCCCCCGTTTGCGTCACATTGGTTGTAATATGGTCTCCAGTCGACACAGCGAGGTTTACTTGCCGTAAAGCCGCTGGCAGCATCTCAGACCACGCTGCTATTTTCAGAATATCTCAGGATGCAAGAAGAACTGACGAACCAATGTTCTGTTGAGTTGAACCACTCAGTTGTGAAAGCGTGCCCGCTCTGACGAATTTTTATCAGTAACAGCTTTAGCGACCCAGAAACGAGCGTACTGGATCAAGGCGCTGTTGGAGAATCCGTCGATTCCCACCCACTGTGCGAGAGCAGGCGAGGAGGAAGAGGATTGACCGGAACGACGGGAAATCGTGGGGACGACCCAGCTCCCGACGACCGAAGAGAAGCCAGACCCGGTAACAGCAGCTCCGCACCAGTTAGACGACGTAACCTGATCCAAACTCTTCAGAACTGTCCCGACAGAGAACCGCGACCCTCACCGTAGCGTCCGCAGCACGCCCCATTCGGTTGTTGCGCTTCCGCACCTCGCCAACCTTCTTCAGGGCCTGCGACTGGAATTCGGTGTCGGGGCCCTGCTCGAGCGGAACCTCAACGCCGTCCTGGAACTTCTTGAATGTCCAGACAACCTCAGCGGAGGCAAAGGAAACGGCGGCAAGGAGGGAAACAAGGGCGGCGACCTTCATGGCTAACGAAGACTCAAGGAGCTCGTATCGTATCGTCGCGAATCCTACGCCCTTTATACTGCCTTCACTGCCAGCTGCATCAAAAACGCCATCTGGGCCCATACGTGCTCCGAGTCTCCATCTGCTTCAATGGAGACAACATGCACATCCGACCACTCAGATTTAGGCTAATGGCCCACGGCTCCCTTCGCGTGTGATCGCAACTCGCGATTGAGCCCGGCCCGGTCGTATATGCGTATTTGTTCACGGTGGTCGTCTGGCCAACGTGAGAGCGCAAGGGTAAGCATGACTGGCGATCCATGTGCGACTCGTCGAGTCTCCACGAACACATTTGCATGCGGAGCCGGCATAACATCACCAGGGTTTTTCGTTTGGGAATAGAAAGAAAAATCATCGGAGACCGAACACCCCCTTCGGCTCGCCAGTAGTCCAGTGGTCTTCAAGTTCTTGAATGCAGCCTCTCCTGCGCGGTAATCGTAGATATTTTATAACAGATATTCTTATCGCTATCCTTATCGAGTTAAAAATATCTAACCATCTTTTCTCAGGCTTATCTTAGGCTTCGATTGTAAGGAAGCTAGTACTACTGACTGGTGGAGCATCTGTCTACGTGGCTTGCAAACTCTCCAGTTGGACATGCTGATTCTGAATCGGCCTGTGGCCGTTGCTGCCACTGGGTTGTCGCATATGTATTACTCTGCCATCAGAGCCAGAAGTCTCAATGTACAATGTTTGAGTGAGACCCTATGAGTCAATAAACAATAAATGGGTTTGTGTTGCTCAACTGTCTCTCGAGCCTGAAGGAAAGGATATAAGACGAGATACAAGTAACTATACTAGTAGGATTAGACTTCTTAAATATAGATGCAAATGCATTTAATCTGGCTACGACTAGTATTTTATATGGCTACTACTGTAGCATTTTACTTAGTTTGCTTGTCATGTGTTACCACGTTGATTTTATATAATTTTTGTTTTACATGTCACATAGATTTAAGCAAAAACATGTCCCAAACAGGTAATTTCTAATATTTCCCAGCATTGGAGAAGCCGAAAATTTACCTAATTAGGCAATAATTTGAGTTGAAGTTTTGGATTGATTGTCACACCAAAAATGACATATGAATAGTTTATTGTAAAATGATATGACATCAGAACAAAATTAGAATTCCACCACTGCTCATGTGACTGCAGACTGCTACTTATTTTTTGAATACTTTGATGGGATCAGATGATATTTGTCATTTAGAATCTGGGTCATAGTCATGAGCCTATAGGGCCACTATGACCTGTGACTGTTAGATTGAATAACTTATGTAAGTACAAAATTAGTCATCAATAAAGTGCACTTCTCTTTTCTTGATAATAATGTGAATAAAGCAGTCACACTAGGGATTCAGCCAAAAAAAATGGTCCCCTAAGCAGAATTTATATATGAGAAATAGTGGTCCAAAACAATAGCCTTTTTTGCTGCCTTGATTGATGTGCAATAAATTGTATCTGATTTACAAGAAATCAAGTTCTGTATTGGGGTATCAAATATAGCATATATTATGACTACCCATCTCTGACCATGTTTTGTAGACAATAAAAAAATAGTATCACATTATTGTTGCCCTAATTTGTTATAGATAAGGGTGATTTGTCATATATAATGACAATTTGTCACTTATTTCTAATATATCAGGTCCACTTTGGTGCTGTCCCTATTTTATCTTATATCTTGGGGCATATTTGGGGTATCTATTTGCTACAACTTGTAGTAACGAAATTGTCAGCTGATATTGACCTTGAGTTAAGTATAATCTGATAATTTAATATATACCTTAATTTCTTACAAATCAAGCCTACTTTCCTGGAGTTTTATTTGTTATCTGTCCAAGTCATTAAAATATGTCCACTATTTATCATAAATAAATCCTATCTTAGGCCCATTTTTGGGGAGATCACACTGGGGATTGCAAAAACGGGGGCCTGAAGAAGGAGTTTTTTTATGGCAAAAGCAGTGCCAGATGTGGTCAGCCAATTGTATCCAAATCAAGGCCGCAGATTTTCCTATAGAACTACCAGATATGGTAATTCACACGTCACGTGCGTGGAAATCGGGGCCCATGATGTATGTAAAGATTGGTCCCTGTGATTTGAGCCTGTATCTTCCCCAAAACAGTCCAGCTATGGGCTGCCTTTTTCCCCTGAAACCTGATGTGGGTGTGAGTGCAATTCATATTCTAATCAGAGTATTTTTTTTTTCTGCATATAATAACTGCTACAATATCTTGTTTTGCAAGTAGATTATATCCTGCTTGCTGTACAGGTCAACAGGAATGCAGCACTAAAAATGATTTGATATTGAAATCAAATCCATATATTGAGAAGGACCAGGGGTAGGAGGTTGAGGAGCAGCAGCACAAGGAAGTATGACTGCCCTCTCTACAGCCAGGAATAGGAAACTTGAAGGGGAAGTACCAGGAGAGTTAAGGGTGTCTGATTACCCTTGGTGGGACAACATATAAAAGGCATAATGTCACAAACAACACCAATTCAGAGGATGCCAGTTGGCCAGTGAAGGCAAGCAAGAAGCACCGTGAAAGGATATCGTAAAGATGATGCAATTCGAAGACTGGGGTACAAGACGAAATCTACTCTACTTATTACCACTACTACCATGTGTTTACCATGCCTAATACGAGAGGCAATGATGTCATACTTTAGCCATGCCGTTACGTGCTGTTTGCCTCATGTCCAACTCCACGCTGTCAATCAACATCAGCATCGATATCTGATGATCCAATCACCATCTTATCGTCCATCTTATCTCCTCCTTGTCTTATCTTATCAACCAGGGCCAGAATAAAAGGTTTAAAAGGCGAAGAAAAAGGGTTTTTGAACCCAGCGTTTGATACATAATAGTATACCATATACCCTATTGCTTAGTGTGTCAAGAGTAAACAACACTAATCCAGAGGATGATAGTTGGCCAGTGAAGGCAAGCAAGAAGCACTGTGAAAAGATATCGTAAAGATGATGGAATTCGAAGACTGGGGTATAAGACGAAATCTACTCTACTTATATACACTACTACCATATGTTTACCATGCCTAATACGAGAGGCAATGACATTATACTTTAGCTATGCCTTTACGTGCTGTTTGCCTGATGTCCCAGCTCATATAGCTGTATCTTTGCAAAAGATGAGGGCTGAGCTGCAAGGCTGTAATGCAAAAGATGAGGGCAAGTGCTTAAAGAAAAACTTACAAGTAATAAAATAATTACTTATAAGCCCTCTGGTGGGTTTTGATTGATGGGATCAGTGCATTGGATAATATTACCTAATGTGGAACGATTTTTGATTGCCATCACTAGATCTAATGACCAGGTGATGCCACATCAGTCTTACTTAATCTCTGAATTTATTTTCTTATTTGTGCCACATAAGTCCAAAGTATTACCCTACGAGTATTCAGCCTGAAGAAAAGGTGATTTATATGACTATATCAATTTTTAGCTTAGTCATATCTTTCAATTTCATTGAGAAAGTTAATAATTAAACCCTGTTTCACATCTTTTGCATTAGAGCCTTGCAGCTCAGCCCACATCTTTTGCAAAGAATGAGCTATAGGATGCATGTCCACCTCCACACTGTCAATCAACATCAGCATCGACATCTGATGATCTAATCACCATCTTGTCGTCCATCTTATCTCCTCCTTGTCTTATCTTATCAACCAGGGCTAAAAGAGAAAGGTTTCAATTGCGAAGAAAAAGGTTTCTTGAACCCATGGTTTGACAGGAGTTGGCAGTACCTCCTTACACGTGGAGAACTGGTACAATAGATGATCTAAGTGATAGAGTACAGTGTACAGAATCGCGCCTTATATACACAGGCCTGCCAAGGGGTGATCAGACACCCTTGGCCTCTCCTGCTTCTCTTCACCCCCATTCTTGGCCATAGAGGGGACAATTGTACATCCCTTGCCTTTGACTTCAACAAGGGACCACTTTAACAGGCCCTTTTAGTTTGATTCTACCCCACTCACCCTAACGATTTGTCTGTTCTGTTCCAGGTGCATGTTTACAAGGATAGCCTTGCACAGCCCAACCCAAAGCCTCACAGTACCGGGCCTGCTTGCCCAGCTCGAGTTGTCTGTTCTGTTTCAGGCATGTATTTCTAAGGAGTAATAATTGTTACGGGCTGTGTGACCTGCGATAGGCTGCAAGGAGGTGTGGGCCTGGCGCCCCAAACCCGTTAGCCCTCATGCTGGCTAACCCAATACCTGGCCGGTTGGCTGGCTTCAGCCAAGCTCTGACACCTCGGAACCATTGATGACTTGGCTCGGATAGCTTCAACAGCTGTTGCTGGGGAGTCTACACCTACAATAGCCTAGCCACAGCCATCTCCTTGATGAGATGTTGGTCTCAGCAGAGCTGACAGTCTCTGTAGGCCTATGAAAAGTGGGCCACCCCCATTAGCCAAGACGCGGGTACCCACACCTGCCGAGGCAGCCCGGGCTATCAACAGGAATGGGTGCAGTGATGAGGGGAATGACAGGTGGGAGGCCAAAGATGTGACCGATACTACACAACTTAAACCCAAAAACAAAATGACTAACAACCGTTCTGCTCGAGCTATAACTGCGCAACACTGTTCCGATAACCACCAATAACCGTCTCCTAATACAAGTGCAGAACCCTGGGAACAGAGCCTCTACATGGATGTGCAAGGTTGTAGGGTAGATCGAATGAAATCTTGTTAAAGATTTGTTTTGTGGTTGTTCTTAAGCGTACTATCAACAAAATCTTGCAATAGGAAAGCACCAATACGATGCCCAGAACCGTTTCTACTTGTTTGGATCAGGAACTAACTGCCTTAAACCCAAGGAGTCGTCTCAAGTCAGGACTAACTGCCTTAAACTCTTGACCGCCAACAAAAACCAAGTGTACGCCAACCGAAACTCTTGTATACGGCAACTGGAACCCTCAACTCCTCAATTACAACACCCATTTACTTG